TTTGTGCGTCCTCCTTGGCTCTCTGTATGGGCACAGCTGAGCGGTAGCATGGGGAGAGGACTGCGTTACTGCTGCATGACCGACTCTGCCATTTCAGTAGCATTGGGGCGCCCACGCCCGTTTGCCACAAGGCTTGTCCAGGCTCATTGCCCAAGGCAAGCAGGCTGACCCAGGCTGGCCCAGATGTCAGAAAGGGAAGCAGGGGTGCGCTAGTGCACTGCGCCAATGCTTTCCAGTATGGCCAGACATCTGTCCCATCTGCTGGCACCCAGCCTGCTCCCTCGTTCATTTGCCCCTTCCCCCATCTCAACCCATCCACCTCATTTTTTCCCTTCTATTTCCTTACATAGCTCCACTAACTTGAAGGGTAGGATGTGTCCTGCACATTTCTGCTACACAAGCCTACGCTAATAACCCTGTGCTGGTATTAGCCGAGGTGGTCATTCTAAGCTACATGGTTCACATCTCTCGCTATCTGATTACTTGCTTCTCTGTTTTACAATTCCCTCTCATTAGACTCTCTGCCCTCTGCTTGTATCGCCTCTCGTCTTCTGGCTATTTCTCTGGAGTCTCTTGCACAGCACGCGCCACTCCTTTCCCCTCTCCTTCTTTCTCTCCTCTCCTCCTCAATCACACCAGCAGCTGTTTGCTCTCATTTCTGCAGCTCATAGTCAAAAGTGTTCCACTTGTTAGCTATGGCAGAAAGCCCTGCTCCCTCCACACATCCGGAATGCAGAGACATGAGCATCCAAACAAAAGATAACACAGTATTTCCTCTCTTCCCTCATCGCCAGCAGAAGATTCGGAGAAGTTTCCCTGACTCTCAAGTAGAGTCTTAAATGTGTTAGCAGTAATGATAGCATGATATAAAGCACCTTTTTCCTGACATAATTAAAACGAATAAAAACTTGATATTAGCAAAACCTTGATAACACACCTAACACCTAAAATGTGCATTAAACACAATTGCTTTTTTAAAAGCATTAAGGGGTTTTATTAGATTAGAAAAAAAAACTTTTACATAAAAAATAGAAACAAGAAATTACTTTTAATTAATATATTTTTTTATTTATTATTAAATTAAATATTTATAAATTAAAGAAGGTTTTATATACAGTATATATATATATACATATACATATATACACATAGTAAATTAATTTGCATGGATTTTGAAACTGTGACAGAGTTTGACATTTAAAAGAAAGAGATTAGGAAATAAAGAAAGGAGTGAGAAAAGGGGAAAAAAGAGTAAAAGAGAAAGCAGGGCAGAGGCTAACAGGTCCTATTTGTGCATGCTCCCTCTATTATACGCCACAGGGAAGACCCAGATATTCTTCTTTATCCCATGATGCTTTATTTTAGGACTGCTTAAACCCAAAAGACTGCTTCCAATGATAAAAAAAACAACAAGTTGATTTGAGATTTGTATAGAACTTGTGGCAAAACAATATATCAAGGACAGAATGGCATTAAGAAAATGGTTTTCCTCTAAGCAATTGATGTAAGGTGATCTTGTATGCTGGCAATTTAAATGGCAATTCAAACAGACAAAAAATAAAATTGAATTCTTTTGTAGAATTAGGATAATTCCTTTTAGACTGTCTGGCCATACGGCTACAATCCGACACAATTTCCGCCTGGAGGTGAGAGGTGTCACTTCTAATAGGGAAGCAACGTAGGGGGATGGAGCCATTGTTTGGAGGCCGTGCCCAGCTCATCCTGAACCCTGAGAGAGTCTTAATGAAGAGAGGCATGCGGTCTGGGGAATAGTTTGAGCAGTTTTTCTGTCATTATCCGTCATGTTTATTTAAATTTAGTTGGGGATATTAGATTAATTTAGTTTATTTAGATTTTATATTAGGCTATTCTAATATAGCCTAGCTATTACAAACATTTTCAATAATAATAAAATAATAAAAAACAACCATTCAATTTATATTAGATTTTACCTCGCTAATAAAGCCTCAGTCAGGTCAAAGAAATGTAGTTGCTTTTTATACTATTGTCTGATACAACACTCAAAAAAAGTCTCCCGAGAGAGAGAGATATACTCTGTCACGTATAGCACAGCGAGTGAGAACGAAAAATAATAGGCCTATTTGATTCATGAACGAATTTTTGACAGAACTAACAATCTTATACCCCGTTTTTTTCATAAAGAACAAAAAAAATTGTAATTAGTAGAGTTTTATTTCTAAAACGAATCAAACTAATAAAAAATAAACAGCTTACATACCAAACTCTTTCATTCAAAACTACGCCATCGTTGCTTAAATAAAGTTTGAATACACTACTAGTTTAAAATCACAGTATAATATAATTTGTGTAAGCCTATGAAACACACCTAGGCCTATATCTCGTAATAATTACAGTTTAATTTACATTAAATACCAGCTTCAATGACAGCCCCACTTTGCGCATTAAAATCCAATACTGCGCATGCTCGTCAAATCCAATACGGATCTGATCCAGCTATGTCATCGTGCTATAGGCTGCAGCGAGGACCTCTTGAATCTGTCAGGGATGTATTGAGTGAAATTACTCACCGCGTTGGGACGCACGGTGACAAGTGGGCACGTGTACGTGCATGTCGCCAGTCGCAGGAAAATGTACTGACAAGCAAATTACGCTCTCAGATCGCCTGACCGCTTTCATTTCCACTCCCTGGGACCTGAGGCCTTTTGTTAGCCTGCAGATGGGCCACGGTGACAGGGAAGAGACATTCCACAGTCAGCCCACTTACTGTTATGTCACGGTAAAATTGTGAGCGGTAGCATCGGCAACATTAAGACTGGCAGAGCGGCTGTCCCTCTTTCTGCATGACCGAGTGCAGCATTGTGGGAATTAATTCCTTTCCAATCAGAGCAATTTTTAAGGTTCATATATTTCCCCAGTCTAAACTGAGCAAATGAGGGAAAATGATACCTTGCCAGAATTGCTGACAAGTGGAGATATTCTAATTAGACAGATGCACCCAGCCAGTGGCACGGGGTGGGTGGGTCCACTGGCACAGGAAGTGGGGATCTCATAGGTGAGGTCACTCCCACCGAGAGGATCAGTGATGCATAAGCAGCGAGAGCTCAGTGATACTGCCATTACAGATAATCACCCAGACACAGCAGAAAAATCCATACATACCTCTCATTAACACTGACCTAGTGCTGGCCCTCATTTATCTGACATATTTAGAAAGATCTGCTTCCTTTGATTTAAGAAAGGAATTCAAAGCTTGTTATTTCTGTTAAAAAAGGAAGAGAGACAAAAGCAGCCAAATGCTAGAATGTGCTAACTGCCGTTCAAATCCATCCGCATCGCCCTTCCTCACTTAATTACAACCTCATCTGCATCCATGTGTTGTCATTTTCTTTCAAAAGAATGTTTTGCCTGCACTTTTGACCTGAAAGTGAACTTTTGAATGCAATTTCTCTCTTAGCCACAAAACGCGAGCACTACAGCATTATCGTCGCACTCGGAATGAGATTCATCTCCTCTATCTCCGTCCTGATCACTTTTAATCATCTTCCGTGTGATGATGGGAGCTCAGTTGCGGTGGAAAGGGTATGTTTGACTAACTGGGCTTTCTTAGCCTGAAGGGTACAGAGAGTAAATACCAATCTGCTCTGCTAAATCTGCACCAGACAGACAAACTTCAATTAATGGGAATGCAACTCATTTGTGTTTACTGTATTTTCTAAAGGTCAGCCAAGTCATGGACTCAGAGGCTTGCTCTAAGCCAATTCCCAGGGTTAAATCTATTATCACGATGAATGGCTGAGAGGTCTCGGTGCCTCCTGATATATGACTATCCCAGACTCGAGCTGACCCATCAGGAATGCTATTAATAGACGGGATGGGCCCTTGTTACTCCACCGCAGCTCACTCCTAAGGGAGGAGGGAAGACACGCTTACACGTATGGATCAAAATTATTTTCAATCAGTTTTTGCTCACAAGCTCGCTCCCTGTTTAGCTCGTTCTTACAAGCACATGCATATTCTACAAATGCTCTTTACCATGAATAGATGCATTCCACACCTTCAACACAGATGACTGTTCTCCCCAAAGTCACATTCTACAGCAAAGGACTTTTCAGCTCCATCTGCAAGCATTGTTCCAACTTGCCAAGGCTCATTAATGCTGAGAGCGATAAGCTCCGAAGGACAAATTGTGCACATGTATCAGCAAGAAGAAAAGATACGAAACGCTCTCCTATCCTCTCTCCCCCGCACGTCCTCCTCCCTCCGCTCTTAGCTTTGTTTTGTAACATTCCCAGCTATCAGAGAGCTTAATGTCTAATTGCTATCAACCGCTTACCACTGTTGTTGACAAAACAACAACTGTCTATGAATAAAATAGCGTGAAAAAAACAAATAAATGAATCCGCTATGTGGCTGCAAGCTCTATCGCCTTCTGCTCTCAGTCATTTGGTCCTTCAGTCTTTGTTCAAAGAACTTTAAGAAACTTAGGTGCATTTAAAGTTTCAAAGCACAACTCTAACAAATAGTTTTTCTGAGTAAACAGAAAGGACTAATGGCATTAGTTGCAAGAAAAACATGCTCTTTGTGTCTGACAAAGTAAACAAGGCAAAGAAAGGATTAAAAGAAACAATTAAAATGACAGGCATTATGAGATAAACTGTAATGAAGATATGAATCAATTATTTAAGCATATGGAGATCTGAGAAATGCTCCCAAAGTAGCCTGGAGGGCCTTGGAAGCTCTTCCCACAAAGTTACTCAGAACGGCGTCAACAGAGAAAGCAATTAAGGTACAAGGTGCCCCTGAAATAACCTTCATCGATGCAACACCCGGTGTTCCCATGCATAGGCGTCAGGGCTGTGCTGTAAAAACAGGCTATATTGCAGATGGAAGGTGTTAAGCTTGTAGGGGTGGACCGGTGTGTGAGTGATTTAGCTTGTTATTTATCATACAGCTGGTTTGCTCACACGGTGCTGAGGGCTTGGCCCGCTGCCCGTAAATTCTTTTGTGACTGTACATACCTGGAGTTGGAGAGGGTTGAGTCCTGACGCGGCTGCAGCTGCCATTGTGGATGGAATGAACTGCACCGGGTAGTTATCACCTGTTGGAGAAAGGAGGAGGGGGAGATAGTGAACAATGCACACAGGTTGAGACAATAAGCGGCCCAACGGCAGGCCAGACAAGTGCCAACACAGTTCCTGTGGGCCTGCCTACACCTAGCCTCGGCACTCAGCCCAAACATCTGCACTCACAAAAGAGTCAGCTGGCCAGAGCAGAGCAGGATTTACACACGAACGTCTCTCTTTCTCTCACATTCGGGCTTTTTTCCTTCTCCCTTTTTTATCTTTGCCCACATTTGCACAGTCCTTTCTGATCTGGCTATGCATTGTGCTCAAGGTTATGCCATTTTAAGTTATTGTTCGCAAGTATCTATGATTTATATCATGTTCTGTGAGAAGCTTGCCTAGTCATACTATTGTTCTACATGCCATTATGTGTTTTACAATGTGATCTGGCACAATAAAATATTTATCTAAATGCAGCTTGAAAGACATTTTCATCATGAGATCAAATGCATCGAATAGAATCAATCAATACAATAGGGCAAAAAGAAAACACAATAGGAATCAGATGAAAAACAACAGGTTTAAACAACCCCCCGGAAATATAGCTCTGGAAACCTTATACAGATATTTGAGTGCCTCTGAAAGTGTATGAGATGTGTTTTGTACTGTGGTTGGTGTATATAACACTGTCTCTGGCTCAGGGAGCAGAGGTTTGAATGAAGCATACCCATAGAAGGGGCCCTCTTTCAGCCCCCACTTCTGCCTGTCACTTCTTCTCACAAACATATGGAGCTATTAAGCCACAGGCATGGGGGTAAACACACATATCATCCCTCTTTTTACCCCCCTTACTCACTTTGCAATCTGACTGACCACAGCACATTGTGATGCAGCCAGGAAATTCAATCCCAGCCTGTGGCAGAGGTGAATAAACACAACTGAACTAATTTCAAATAGTGCAATGAGAGTCGTAGAGGGGGTCATTATCGTCCAAGGCACTCTCTCTCTCTCTCTCTCTCTCTCCCTCGTTCTGTGCTTTTGGTGATATGTTATGTGAGCCATGGGCAGGTCAGGTGCCAGCTGAGAACACTAGGCTAAGGCTAATGGTCTGGGGGCTGGGTGGGCAGCCAGTGTCTCAAGTAGACAGGGTTGGCTGCCAGCTTTCTCTATGTCAGTATGTGAAAGTGAATCTAGTTTAAAAGGCAAATCTGCCTGTCTCCAGCCAGTGGATGCCACTGAGGCTCCAGTGATGCTACTACCCAATAGGGTTGTTTCTCCAAGCCTGCTAAGGCCAAGGGCCAAAAGCTTATTACCAGCCCACCTTAGAGCCCAATAGTGAGCTTCCTCACATCTGATTCAGCATATTGTGCCATAAGCAGTGTTAATCCCATCAATATATATATATATATATATTTTTTTTTTCATCAATGAAAATTAGATGCTTTAGTCATGATGAAATATTGACTACATTTAAAGGAAATTTTAATCAAAAGACAAAACAATGACTAAAACAAAACTGACCAAAAGCTATTACCATATAGCAGGGTCTGCCAAAGTAACCAACAGTGACTGTGCTGGCTCACACAACTCAGTCCAGAAAACCCAAACCAGAGCATACACTTCAACATGAAATTCTGTCTGATAGCATCACTTTATTAGTGAGGTACCTTATCAAAGCAAGCTTTGCTAAGACACCAAGCAGGAAGGGGCAAACCTCCTAAGCTCTGATCACAATACTCCACTGTCTTCTTTTCTTTATAAAAGTGCCAGGCAGGCTGCTGAATAATGCTTGAAGTGCTTTCTCTCAAAGCATTGCTAGAGAGCCTCATAGTGTATTCTGTTTCAGCCAGGTATCATGCTGCAAATCGAGGCCAATTTGGACTGCCAACTTGGCACAGGGCCTCTTTAAGTGGAAGGACCCAAGGGTCTTGCACAGGGCACCACTACCACTGAAGCGGGCCGGTGCTCCATAAGAAGCGAGGGCTGCGAGGCTAATGAAAAGGTGGAGGAGAGTGGGGAAGAACGGCTGGCGGAGTGCTCCTTCTGCAACCTCTTCAGTTCTACTCCACCTGATGCCAAGAGCCAAGCATGTGGAACATTCAAGACGAGTGGGGCTCTCTTTGAAATCAATGGTTTTGTTAAAGGGCTCAGTGTCTATCATGCTCACAAGCCTTCTTCCAGTCCAAAACTGAAGGCTCTTTTTTATGAAGGAAAAAAAAATACTTTGGTCAGAGATGTGGCACAGTGGACCGAACAGATGCTCAGAAAATGTAAGAACTGTTGGCCATGTCCCATTCTTCTTTCTCTTAACCAAGCTTTTCCTTTCTTTAAAAGGCAAAATAAAAATGCAACCAATCAATAAAAGGCAAAAATAAATAAATAACAGTGAGTGTCAATGATCTATAGCAAGGTTATGCAAAATTTAGAATTTAAGAATTGGTTCCCTTAAATTCATGAGTATAAATCTGAGTTTAATTGGCTGTGTTGAACTGGAATTTTTCAAAATGAAATTAATTTACTGAACTGTAATCTAACTATCTATTGATGGCTTAAATCCTTCCATTTGATTTTCCTTGTTAAAATTAGTTATATTAATTTCCTTGAATTTCAGTTCATTTTAATTATACTATCAAATTTGAAATGCAATTCTGCTTTCTGTTTGATACCTCAATTCAATTTAAATTCAAATTCAAGAATTTAAAAGGAATTCTCAATTCAGTTCCGAACAGGGCACAACCCTGATATACATCAGCTCAAAACTGGGATCATCAATTGCTAATGTAGTGTATCAATGTCTAAACACCTGACGCACATTTTCTGTGACATGAACATGCCCCCCAGGCGAGGTTCTGTACAATCACTGGATGTCAGCGTTCTCGCCAGCGGGGGAACATCGAGAGCCTATTGCGTCCCAAGGGCCATGAACATCCACGATCAGCAATACCTATGTGTTCATGTCTGCACGGGGGGGATCACCACTATCCTCCACAAGTCCATTTGAGTACAAAATGACCTAAGCCCTCTCTTTCTACCAAGCCCAAGCCATTGAGCACAGTGTGTGAGAAAGGGGATCTCTGCTGTTTCACTGCAGGGTTAGGGCCATCAGCATTGGGTCTTGACTGCTTGCACTGAGCCTGGCTGCGCTGCCCCATGCTGGGCAGTACAAACAGCAATGAGTCCTGTCGCATTAACTGTGGCAATAAGTCGAGTCATGCGCACTAATGGCAATAAGCTATGTCCTAAACTTTCTCCACTCCACTGTTTTGCAAATTATGAATAATGCAAGTGCTTTACACACGCCAAGGATTCCATTACAGATGCTGTTATTTGTACTAAAACACTTTCCATGTCAAACATATTAAAAAATCTAACTGGGGAAAAGAAAGCCCTCAGGCTCTTTGTTCAACCTGTCATGCCTTTGTAGTTCCAAAATAGCTGACTTTATGTTCCATCATTTACCTTTTTAGTTAATTTATTAGCTGCTCTACCACACCCTGTAATAGTCTAACTCTCACCTGCTGACTTCTTAAGCTTTCCTCCCTCTTATCAGTCTCTCTGTCTAGCTCGCTTTCTCTTTTCCTGTACATTTGCCTTTTGATGAGGTGCTGACAACAAACGTGGTTTCTCAAGGCATACTTTGAAGACAAAAGGAAAGCTTTTTTACTGAGCTGCACTGATCATTTCTTTTTTTTCTTCAATAATTCTCTTTCAACTCATTCAATTTTTTTGTCTTCTTAATTTATGTTCCTTTTCATTTCCTACAGGTCTACTAACCCAACTCAGCAGCTACACTGAAAAATCATTACATGACCATTTTTATTTTTCTCAACAGTCCTCTGTGGTAAAGAAAAGAGGGGGGAAATAGGGGGGAAATGATAGAAGGCTGGAAATTTAACTAAGTGCTACTGATCCCTTGGGAGGCAGGAATACAATTTTAACGGTTTAATTACAGAAACTGAGACTGGCACATCCCTAAACCTCAGAACAATGGTTGGATATGAGGGTGAGGGATACTGGCAGTGAGTCAGCCTGCATGTTGTAGCAATTTCCTACAAATTTGTTTTTGAATTTACAGTGCTTGCGTGAGGAGCAGTTCACTTTTTCACAAAAGGAGAAAAAAGGCATGCCAGGACAAGTACGATGGCGCTTCACTAGAGGCCTTTCAGTTCCAAAAGAGAAAATGTGCAACACTATGGGTCACCTTTTATTTCCTCAAGAAACAGAAATAATTGGGGATAGTGATTGTGATAAATCGCTAATTTAGTATCACCAATTGGCTTTTAGTATCTCCAAATCAGTGCCAAAGACACATCTCTCACAAAGCAAAGAGTGAAAAATTTAAGGGGGTCTGAATACTTTCCGTACCCACTGTATATATACAGTATATATATTTGTATATAATAACTTATTATACAGGGCATGGAGAGTAGTATATTAGTATTATGCTCTCAGCAGATTTATGGCCCATGAAGTTGAAACCCTTTATTGCTGACGGTGTTTATATTCCAGCCCTCATTCACGCCATCCATTGTTCTGAAGGCTCGAAACGCCTTGAACTCTGCCAAAACAGGCTGCCTCACCGAGGTGATACATTTCACAGTGTTCAGAATTTATTGTCTTGACAAGGAGGGCTTGATGTTCTGCTCTCTGAATCCAAAGGGGTGGGCTCTTTAAAAACAATGTGATGATCTGGTCAGGGAAATCAAGCGATGATAAAATATGTACTGAGGAAGTTATGAGGAGGTAAAGAAAGCCTAAAAGTGGCCTGTATATTCCCCTGAGGTAAAGTGAAGAATGGTGAAGCAGAAAAAACACCACAGATAAAAGAACAAAAGACAGGCAGGAAAGAACTTGTTAACATTTCTTGTCACCCCTCAAAGACACAGTTGTTGGACAGCAGTGTTTATTATCCATGTTATGTATTAATATATATATATATATATATATATATATATATATATATATATATGACTTTCTTTCTTTCTGGAACACAAAGACGACATTTAGAAAAATGTATGTATTATTTTTGTTCATAAAGTGAAAATATTTAGAGTCCAAATAATAAAAAAAAAATGTCGAAACATTCTTCAAAATGTATTCTTTTGTGTTCTACAAAAGAAAGCAAGTCATACAGGTTTGAAACGTTGCTTTCATTTTTGGGTGAACTTGATTTGTAACAGCAGTAGTATTATTTGTAATATAATGAATTATTATTTTAAAATATTGATTTAATATAAAGGTATTAATATTTAAATATAAATGTAAAATTGTGGTATGTGAATATCTACAAGTATATCTGATTGTTAGGATAACTTTCAGAAATTCAGACAAACCTTTTATCCTAAGTGTACAAGGTGCAACAGGAATAAAGCTGTGTAGATGAAACTCAAAGAGCTGAACTGTGTTCTCTTACCTGGCTTATAGGACATGCCTGGGGGGAAGAGGAAGCCCTGCTGGGCTGCCGCGGCTGCTGCCAGAGTGCGCTGGTCGTGTGGAAAAATGGGGATCATGAGAGGAGGCATGTGACTCTGGACCTGCTGAACACAGAGAGAGAGGAGATCACACAGGAGCCTAACACAGCCTGACAGCACTGCTCATATTCTGACCCTGATCCACTTCACACACGCTCACCAAATACCTGCACTTAATGCCCACCAAAGAGAACATCACACACACATAAACAGTAGAGTGTTTATTCTCATTTGTATCACAAACGCCCGATTTAGCATGTTAAGGTTGTTTGAGTAATATCTACAGTGCATATGTTACTAGATAGAAACAGAGATGTCAGGTAGGCATTCCTAATAAAACTTAATCATGAGACTGACAGAAAATGTGAATCCTCTCAGAAATACAGCTCTTGTTTCTTGTTCTTGGAAGGTCATTTATATACAAGATAAATGCCCAAGGGAGACCGGTAATTTACAGCACCTGTTTTCAGCTGCGAAAAAGATGGAATGAGCCCAAAAGCTTGTGCATTTCTGATATTTCATGTATAACGTCAACACCTGGCATCGTGTGTGGTGCCTTTCAAATGCTCTCAACCATGTTCATCTCCATTCCTGCTTTATTGCAAAATAGAGAGAATGTTAATGGTGTGCATAAGGATAACATTAGCTCTGTGTAAGAGTAAAAACAGACACGCTGAACTAGAGACAAAGAAAACGAGAGTCTGTGTGTATTTAGGGATCTGAGCGGCTTCCCATCAAAGTTTGAAAACACATGTTTTTGGAGTGTTGGCTGGACCCAATCTTGCTGTCATTCTCTGCTTCCTGCCTGTGGGTGATATGCTGCAGCGGCGCTACCGTGAGCCAGGGCAGAGTTAATGCCGGCTCACCTCTGGGGAGCCCAACCGGAGAACGGGTTAATAAAGGTCGGCCCCCCCAAAATAAACACATTATAGAATGTTTCTCCATTCATCGCTCTTTAAAATCAGCCTGCAATAAAAACCGGTCTGGACGCAATTACTGCTGCAGCACTGGGGCATGAAATCAACCTGCTCTGAGAAACCCCTTTCTGCTCCGCATTTCTAGCTGAGGTCTGCGTGATCTCCGTCTTTTTAATACTGCTTTCGTCTTTCAAGCGCCTAATGTTAGAGTTCAATAGGGCTTGTTCCCCAGGTGCTAAACAAGTGTTCAGGTCCACTTCAGTGATTTGGACTAAGTGAGTTCTCCTAAGCAAAAATAAATAGAAAAATATCCTGCACTTTTCTGTTTATAGAGCTTTGCACTTTAAAAAGTGCATCTACAGAGTTGAGACTACCGAAATGAAAGAACTGCGTGAGTATTTTACAGATGTGACAGAGAAATGATGAATGAGAGAGATCAGAGGGCTCTTTAACATGACCGCATGGATGTGTTTGTGGAAATAGTTTACTTGCATGTGAGGTGAATCAAAATGTAAGTGGAGTGAGAGGGGCTATTACATAGAAAAGAGAAAAAAATGTCAGTGACGTCACCAACTACAGTCCTATATTACCTCAGATTCATTTAAGCGCTTTAGAAAAATGGCTCTGACCATGTAAATTGTTCTCCTTCAGAGGGCCACTAAGGTCAGTCACATAAATAATTGCCATTAGCCTTATTCACATTACCCTTGCAAAACGAATCAGTCTAAAGCTGCTTTTAAAGTGGAACCAAAACACAACTGTTCCTTAACATGTCATTTAGCATAGTCCTGCACCAAAAGCTCACAAGCATAATGACAGAAACACCTGGTCTGCCATGCCTTATCCCATCTGTTCCTAAACTATACCATCAGTGTCTTATTTAATTCAAAATCTAAATCATTTAAAACGACCTAGAATTAGACATCATTTGAAACAAACAAATTGACGAACAATGCTAACAATAACTCTGCTAATCAAACAGACTCCCCTAATGCTGTTTCAAAAGGCACAAACAGCAAGAAAAAGAAAAAGGGAAAGTACCAACAGATACCTTGCCCTCAGTTTGAGAGGTCCCGATTTGCAGTAATGAGGACTTTACATTAAAGTTTAATTTACACACGCCACATCTGTGAGTGGCAAATCAAATAAGCGTCCTTAAAGTGGGGACTAATAGTGAAAGTTAACTTTCAAGCCTGTCAATTAACATACACTGGTGGAGCTGAGCAGACAATGCAGATAAATATTTAAAGATGATCACTGAATGGAATTAAGTGCCTGCACTTAAACAGTTGGATAAATTGCATCTTGCATTCTGCATTGAAGCTCGCTTATTATATGCATCCGTCTTTCTCATTCACTGGATCTATCCGTCTCTCTGTCTGTCCCTCTGTGTCTTTACATACACAACATGCTTCCATCCATGCATGCTTACACAAGAGAACATTTATACCAAACAGTAGAAATCAGTAATAGATTTATTACTACTACTACTATTATTATTATAAAATGTACATAAAATATAAAATTATAACCATGATAAACTAATAAAAAATATGAGTTACTATTAAATGTATTATTTAATTTTTTTAATATTCTCATTAATATTAAATGAATATTATTTAATTATTTTTCCTAGAAATGTGAATATATTTTATTAATTTTATTAATTTCTCATATTTATCGATTCATAAAAACATTAATTAGAATGAATTAAAACAAAACTTAAAAAGCCACAACAAAAAAAATAAGAATTCTTCACAAATTATATATATTTATATTACAGCTAAAATGATTAATAATTATATTTTTATTATTTACTTAATTTATTATATTTATGAATTAATAAATTTATTTAAATTCAAGGATTCAAAGCGCTTATTTTCATATGAACAGTGAGGAAAACAAGTTTTCCTGACCAATGAAATTCTTACTTTGCTGTCCACAATGAATGCCAAGTGCAAGTGCAAAACTATACACACATACACAACATAGATATAACTTGATCATTCTCAACAAATGAATGATAATATACACCAAATATACAAAATATACACACAGCAAGGGAACTCTTCAAACTCTTCCCCATAAACAACTAAACTTCACTTTGTGTTGTGTCTCATATAGCAGTCTGGTTCACATAAAAGTATCTACTGTGTTGTAAACTAGTCTATAGTAGTTGATCCATTTCTACTGCTATATATATATATATATATATATATATATATATATATGGTACTCATGGTATGTATGAACATGTATGCTCACCCGTATTTGTGTATCTGTGCCCTGATATTTTGCCCCTCCCTCCGTCAGTGTGCCAGGCGGCTGGCTGCATGCAGCATTAGAATTGCCAGTCAGTTCTTCAAGAGCGTGAAAGAATGAAGTGGAGCAGATGTGAGGAGGAAAGCTCAGGCCTCTGAAAGCTCGGAACCTCATAAACTCTGCCTCCTATCTGCTCTTTGTCTATCAAATCCTTAGAACGAGAGGATAGGATAATGCCATTTCTTGTCATCTGCCCCAAAGCTTCATTAAAGATACATGAACGAGCCCCATCTTATGAGGAACAGGTGCTATTGTTTGTCCCCGAAGACCTGCTGTGGCAAGGATGTAACTCGCGGTACTTGAGGAAGAGCATCTGTAGCAATCAGTCAGGCTGTGTAGCTGGCAGCCTCTTTCTCTCTTCACACAGGCGACCGGTTCATGGGGGTGTACAGACACAGAGAGAGAGAGAGAGGCCTCTTCACCTTCAGCGGCTCGCATTTATCAGTTCAGTGCAGCTGATGAAGTCTGTGGTGATACACAGCACAATCTGTCTCTCTGTCGGAGATACACGCATCACCTGGCCGTGTCTTCGCTACTGTCCCCTGCCCTTAGATCAAGCATTAATTTACCCTCCAATAAGAACACAGGCCATGTCGGGAAGCTTTGAAACTGTAGCTTGTCAACAAACTACTCATTAATTTAAGCAATTCAATTACAGTTAATCTACAATTCTACAGACATCTATCAGAATATGGCAAACTACACTTAAGTTACACTGAAGAAAATTTGGTGTGAAAACAATTTTCACTCAGAAATTGCTAGTAAATTTCACAATTAATACCACAAAAAAATAACACTTTGAATTAAACATGACATTTTGAAGTAGTATTTCAAGACTGAAATAGTATTTTCTTGTAAAATGTAACCCAATAATGTCAGTTTTATTTACGACTTCACAAAACCTTTTTTCAGTGTATTTAAAGATGATTAAATTATATTAAATGATTTTAATTTTAATATTTAAGAGATATGCCTTTTCCTTTTGCAAAAAGCTAAAAAGTAGCTGGCACAAAAACAATGGAAACCTCATTAGGGTGATCACACCTAAATATATAAATTTATAATAAAAACAAGCTAAGCTCATAAGGGAAAAAAAGCTTAAAAAATACAAATATTTGACAAAATTATTTGCAAATAATATTAACATTTGACTAAATATTACTTCTAAATATAATATTAATTTTTAAAATAATATTATTGTAATAAATACATTATTTTCTATATGTCACTACTAAAAAGAAAACATAAAAGACTTACAGCCTTTCCTCTAGATAAGAAAATGGGGCTTCAGTGTTGATTTTGGGGACTGAAGTTGATTTTGTTTTAAGTGGTTCATTTTAATTCATTCAATGTAATGAACAATTCAATTTACTAAAATGAACTAGATGGCATGAGAAAATAAATATGTTGGATTAATACTTGCATACATAATACTGTGAAAAAATTGTGTTTTGTCATCATACACTGGGGGGGAAAAAAGCAGCTCATTGCTGGAAATGCTACTCTGTTTTGAAAACAGCTGTGCTACAATCACGGTCCTGGTCACTAATTCCCAACACTGAACGCGGAGTTGTCAGCAGTGGGCTGTTTAAACACACAATGTGCCCTCGCTGTAGGTTGAATGACCGAAATAAAAGGAGGAGGGGGGAAACCCCTGAAGTAAATAGGGAGCTATAGATTAATCAATGTTGTTAGTGGAAATGTTGACATCAGCACTTAGTTTCAGTAATGGTTTACAGCAGCAACTAATCCTAAGGTCAGACAGACCAGCCTATCCAAGGAGCTGCACTGTACGTGGATTACTGTTAGAATAGGATGATGTGTGCT